TGTCCACGAAGGTGGGGGCGCCCCCTGCCCCTGGGAGCGCCCCCTGCCTCGTGGGCCCCCTGAACGTCCACCGACCTCAACTCCAACTCCATATATTATCTTTCGCGGAGAAAAAAATCAGAGAGAAAGTTTCATCGCGTTTTAGGATACGGAGCCGCCTCCAAGACCTAATCTCTCTAGGGAGGGCTGTTGGAAATATGACCTAGAGGCAATAATAAATTGGTTATTATTATTATATTTCCTTGTTCATGATAATCGTTTATTATCCATGCTATAATTGTATTGATAGGAAACTCAGATACATGTGTGGATACATAGACAACACCATGTCCCTAGCAAGCCTCTAGTTGACTAGCTCGTTGATCAATAGATGGTTACGGTTTCCTGACCATGGATATTGGATGTCGTTGATAACAGGATCACATCATTAGGAGAATGGTGTGATGGACAAGACCCAATCCTAAGCCTAGCACAAAGATCGTGTAGTTCGTATGCTAAAGCTTTTCTAATGTCAAGTATCATTTCCTTAGACCATCAGATTGTGCAACTCCCGGATACCGTAGGAATGCTTTGGGTGTACCAAACATCAAACGTAACTGGGTGGTTATAAAGGTGCACTACAGGTATCTCCGAAAGTGTCTGTTGGGTTGGCACGAATCGAGACTGGGATTTGTCACTCCGTGTGACAGAGAGGTATCTCTGGGCCCACTCGGTAGGACATCATCATAATGTGCACAATGTGAACAAGGGGTTGATCATGGGATGATGTGTTACGGAACGAGTAAAGAGACTTGCCGGTAACGAGATTGAACAAGGTATCGGGATATCGACGATCGAATCTCAGGCAAGTACTATACCGCTAGACAAAGGGAATTGAATACGGGATTGATTGAATACTCGACATCGTGGTTCATCCGATGAGATCATCGTGGAACATGTGGGAGCTAACATGGGTATCCAGATCCCGCTGTTGGTTATTGGTCGGAGAGTTGTCTCGGTCATGTCTACGTGTCTCCCGAACCCGTAGGGTCTACACACTTAAGGTTGGATGGCGCTAGGGTTATAGGGAATAGATGTACGTGGTTAACGAATGTTGTTTGGAGTATCGGATGAGATCCCGAACATCACGAGGAGTTCCAGAATGGTCCGGAGGTAAAGATTTATATATGGGAAGTCATGTTTTGGTCACCGAAAAAGTTTGGGGTGCTATCGGTAACGTACCGGGACCACCGGGAGGGTCCCGGGGGTCCACCAGGTGGGGCCACCAGCCCCAGAGGGCTGCATGGGCCAAGTGTGGGAGGGGACCATCCCCAGGTAGGCTGGTGCGCCCCCCCCCCACAAGGGCCCAAGGCGCCTAGGGTTTGGGGAGGGGGCGCCTCCACCTTGCTTGGGGGGCAAGTTTCCCCCTCTCCCCCTTGGCCGCACCCTAGATGGGTTTTGGGCCTGCCGCCACCCCTAGGGAGGGAACCCTAGATGGGGGCGCAGCCCCTCCCCTTCCCCTATATATACTTGAGGTATTGGGGGCTGCAAACACATGAGTTTTCCTCTCCTTGGCACAGCCCTACCTCTCTCCCTCCTCATCTCCCGCGGTGCTTGGCGAAGCCCTGCAGGATTGCCACGCTCCTCCACCACCACCACGCCGTTGTGCTGCTGCTGGACGGAGTCTTCCCCAACCTCTCCCTCTCTCCTTGCTAGATCAAGGCATGGGAGACGTCACCGGGCTGCATGTGTGTTGAATGCGGAGGTGTCGTCTGTTCGGCACTAGGATTGTGATTTGGATCACGACGAGTACAACTCCATCAACCCCGTTCACTTAAACGCTTCCGCTTAGCGATCTACAAGGGTATGTAGATGCACTCCCCTTTTCCTCGTTGCTAGATTACTCCATAGATTGATCTTGGTAATACGTAGAAAATTTTGAATTTCTGCTACGTTCCCCAACAGTGGCATCATGAGCTAGGTCTATGCGTAGTTTCTATGCACGAGTAGAACACAAGTTGTTGTGGGCGTTGATTTTTGTTCAATATGCTTACCGTTACTAGTCCAATATTGTTTCGGCGGTATTGTGGAATGAAGCGGCCCGGACCAACCTTACACGTACACTTACGTGAGACAGGTTCCACCGACTGACATGCACTTGTTGCATAAGGTGGCTAGCGGGTTCCAGTCTCTCCCACTTTAGTCGAATCGGATTCGATGAAAAGGGTCCTTATGAAGGGTAAATAGCAATTGACATATCACGTTGTGGTTTTTGCGTAGGTAAGAAACGTTCTTGCTAGAAACCCATAGCAGCCACGTAAAACATGCAAAAAACAATTAGAGGACGTCTAACTTGTTTTTGCAGGGTATGCTATGTGATGTGATATGGCCAAATAGAATGTGATGAATGATATGTGATGTATGAGATTGATCATGTTCTTGTAATAGGAATCACGACTTGCATGTCGATGAGTATGACAACCGGCAGGAGCCATAGGAGTTGTCTTAATTTATTGTATGACCTGCGTGTCATTGAACAACGCCATGTAATTACTTTACTTTATTGCTAAGCCGTTAGCCATAGTAGTACAAGTAATAGTTGGCGAGACAACTTCATGGAGACATGATGATGGAGATCATGATGATGGAGATCATGGTGTCATGCCGGTGACGATGATGATCATAGAGCCCCGAAGATGGAGATCAAAAGGAGCAAAGTGATATTTGCCATATCATGTCACTTTTTGATTGCATGTGATGTTTATCATGTTTATGCATCTTATTTGCTTAGAACGACGGTAGTAAATAAGATGATCCCTCATTAAAAATTTCAAGAAAGTGTTCCCCCTAACTGTGCACCATTGCGAAGGTTCGTTGTTTCGAAGCACCACGTGATGATAGGGTGTGATAGATTCTAACGTTTGAATACAACGGGTGTAAGCCAGATTTACACACGCAATACACTTAGGTTGACTTGACGAGCCTAGCATGTACAGACATGGCCTCAGAACACAAGAGACCGAAAGGTCGAGCATGAGTCGTATGATAGATACGATCAACATGAAGATGTTCACCGATGATGACTAGTCTGTCTCACGTGATGATCGGACACGGCCTAGTTGACTCGGATCGTGTAATCACTTAGATGACTAGAGGGATGTCTATCTGAGTGGGAGTTCATAAGACGAACTTACTTATCCTGAACATAGTCAAAAGGTCTTTGCAAATTATGTCGTAAGCTCGCGCTTTAGTTCTACTGTTTAGATATGTTCCTAGAGAAAATTTAGTTGAAAGTTGATAATAGTAATTATGTGGACTAGGTCCGTAAACTGAGGATTGTCCTTGTTGCTTCGAAGAAGGCTTATGTCCTTAATGCACCGCTCAATGTGCTGAACCTCGAACGTCGTATGTGGATGTTTCAAACATCTGACATACACGTTTTGATAACTACGTGATAGTTCAGTAATGTTAAACGGTTTAGAGTTGAGGCACCGAAGACGTTTTTTGAAACATTGCGGAACATATGAGATGTTCCAAGGGCTGAAATTGGGATTTCAGGCTCGTGCCCACGTCAAGAGGTATGAGACCTCCGACGAGTTTCTTAGCCTACAACCTAAGGGAGAAAAGCTCAATCGTTGAGCTTGTACTCAGATTGTCTGGGTACAACAATCACTTGAATCGAGTGGGAGTTAATCTTCCAGATGAGATAGTGATGTTTCTCCAAAGTCATTGCCACCAAGCTACTAGAGCTTCGTGATGAACTATAACATATCAGGGATAGATATGATGATCCTTGAAATATTCGCTATGTTTGACACTGCGAAAGTAGAAATCAAGAAGGAGCATCAATTGTTGATGGTTAGTGAAACCACTAGTTTCAAGAAGGGCAAGGTCAAGAAGGGATACTTCATGAAACGGCAAATCAGCTGCTGCTCTAGTGAAGAAACCCAAGGTTGAACCCAAACCCGAGACTAAGTGCTTCTGTAATAAGGGGAACGGTCACTAGAGCAGAATTACCCTAGATACTTGGTAGATAAGAAGGCAGGCAAGGTCGACAGAAGTATATTGGATATACATTATATTAATGTGTACTCTACTAGTACTCCTAATTGCACCATGGTAATAGATACCGGTTCAGTTGCTAAGTGTTAGTAACTCAAAATAAAAGGCTACAGAATAAACAGAGACTAGCTAAAGGCGAGGTGAAGACACTACTAGATATTTCATTATAACCGAGGGTCCAATCACCGTCGGATATTTTTGATCACCGTCAACTATTACTAAAACCGACGGTACACCGTCGGCCATCTCCCGTCGGCCTTGCTCCGTCGGCCATTACAGTAATGGTCGACGGTACAGTCGGGTAATATTGTCACCTACGGTAGTAAGCCGACGGTGAGCCGTCGGGCATGTTATTGTGACCAGCTGGCTCATCTTAGCCCGACGACATTTATAGCCGACGGTTCCTCGTCGAGCATTTACTCTCTGACGGTTATTGCTTCCCGTCGGTTTTCAAAGTAGTCGACGGTACATTTGTCCCGCTGGACTTATTTATGACCGTGAGGAGAACCAAACCGTCAGCTCATTAGATGGTCGACAGTGTATACGGCCTTTCAGGAAACCTGTTAGCCGAGGGTGAGCGAACACGGCCAGAAAACCTGTTAGTCAAGGGTGAGCAAACACCGTCAATTTATAAATTCACCAACAGTCTGAAGTCCCCATTGGCATTCTCTATAACCGAGACATATTTTCCACCATAGGTCATTACTCACCCCTCGTATATTTCTTTCACCAAGGGGTGTTTCATTCCATCTCATACACAAGCACAAGGTATTGAGTTACATCCAAATTGCATTAACCATAATTATCAAATGTCGAATGCAGAACAAAATAGTAACTGAGATAGGCCACATTTTGCATAAGATAAATTGTCCACTAAGACAAATTTGTCCATAAGATAATAAAGTGTTTCAAATATCTAACACAACTACATTTTGACATGACTTGAAGATCATTAGATTTTATAGCCAATCATCATCATCGCCATCGCCACCGCCATAGCCATACCCATAGTCATCCTCATCTCCATAGTCATCATATTCCCCATCACCATAGTGATCATAGTGCTCATCACCATACAGATCACCCTCGCCATAGTTACCATATCCCCCATTGCCATAGTCGTCGTCCTCATCATCATTTCCATGACTCGTACTGCCTCCAGTCCTGCTTCCCATTCCCTAAGTAATGACAAGACTAGTTGTCAGTATAATGTAGCTGAAATTTAAGTGACCTACAGGGATCAAACTTAATTGTTCTAATTGACAGGTTATCTGCGAACTGCTATATGACAGCATGATTATCCAACAATATGATGCCTATTCACCTTTCGTTCCTTCACATGAAATTTTCAGAGGAAACATGAATCAGCAGGAACACATTCCATACACATTTACCAAGTACTGTGCATATCTATCTGCAACCCCATTATCAACAGTGTTTACATTTCGCAGTCACATGACAAAGCCGAATTAGTAAACTAACAGACCGCTATTGGCAAGTTTGGGCATATAGTAAACTAATTAAGAATGGCATGTACAAAGAGCATAAACTAGCAGCATGTGCCCCAAGGTGAAATAATATTTGCATGTATATGTATTATAATTGAAATGCATATGTACAGAGGCTTTATCGAACATGGTACAATGCTTAGATAAAGGAAGAGTATCCATAAGAAAAATATTCCGGATGGTTAGCCTAAATGCTTTCATGTCTACTAATTCGTTCCCTGCGACCTCAATAAATTATACATGAAGTACAAATAAATTATTGTTCATACTATCATATTTTTCCTATTAATGATTATTTAATTAACATGGTTCAGTTTATCTAGTTTTGCACATAAGAAATGATAGCGAATTTAGATATGCAAGCAAACAAGGCATATGTACAGAGATACAAGCAAACAAGGCATATGTACAGATAAACAAGCATGACAACTGTAGGCTATCAAGTGTGGTCTTCACTGCATTTTTTTCTCATAGATGTGCAGATAAACTTGTCCTATCAACCATCAAGTATTTACATGTAGCATCAGTCATTTCTCTTGGGTGATATAATCCTTTAGAGGAATGCGCCAATATAGTTAACCATGCATTTCTTTTCTAAATCTGTAATTAAAATATATGAAGGATCTACATCTGCTGCTACTTTCCATGACCAAAAATACTGCACCTGACTTGCACACACAAATTCTCTCTTGATGTGCTAATACATATGCAAAGACAAACACATAAATGGTGGAACAAGGAGAGGTAATCCCCAGACTTGCGAGCACGACGACAATGAACTAACCTTTTCGGTTTGGTGTTGAGGCACATCACCTCGTCCCCTTTGAAATCCGCCTTCAGAATATGATGGAGACTATGTATCATACACAAAAGAAACATTACTTAATGGGTTCAATTGCTGAAAGCCTACAATTCAGATGGGTATAACTTACCAAGTCATCTGTTGCTGATTGCATTATGCCATCAAAGTCGACTCCCCCTTTCTCAGCCAAAGACTACAAACATCAGCATGTTAGCACATACCTATTCACTCAGACTCTAATTTACAAGAGAAGATAATATTACCTGAACAACAAGCTCAATGCCTCGAAGACGCTTGATCTCCTGCTTCAAATATTTGTTTTCTCTTTCTAGACGCTCCTCCTTAGCAGATTGCACCGGCTGTGAGGCCATCGCCCTTTTAGACTTAAACTTCGCCTTCTCTGCTTTGCTAAACAACTCATTAGCAATTCCCAGCCTGCCATGTGGCATTCTGCCTGCTGCTTCGTAGATGATTTGTCCATCTAAATCCGGGTGCTCCTCTTCCCAATTTTCTCCATGGGCATTTTTCATTGCCTTATCAAAATCCTCCTTTTCAAATTAAAACTTAACGGTAAACCGCAGTGTTATGCACATAGTTCTCATGATGATTATAATGAACTAAGTTGCAATATTTTACTGACCCAATGATCAGCAGTTCTTTGACTGCATATCTGCTCTTCATCAGTCCCTCGATGCAATTTGTGCGTGTGAAGCCAAGCACCAGAAATTCCAGGGTCTTTCCCGGTTTTGAGTTTCTGCATTTCAAGAGTGTGACACATCATCCAATGTAAATGAAACTTCCTTATTAAATAGTAAGCACAAAGATGTTTGACGAAAATAGTACCAGAAATTGACGTGTGGCGACAACATTTCTAGCACCACTGCAATGGAAGACCGTGTCCCCATTAGCAAGTCTGTTCCTTTTGTTGGTTAAAGATAACCCTCTAAATTCAGTACTACTCCAGTGCTCACATAGTAGACGCCAACCAACGTCTATACCAAAGTCAACTCTCTTTGCAGAAATTAAAGCTTCCTTAGTTGGCCAGCGGTTACCATCCTCATCCTCTTCTGTTAGTTCTGTAGGCAATTGTCCCTTCTTCTTTAATCTTTTGATGGCTGCCGCCTTTTCCTCATGTAGCATCTGCTTCACTTTCCTAGTTAAGTTCTCCTCCAAAACACCATCTGCCTTCTCTTGCTCCGATGGGTCACACTTGAAACGCCACTGCCAAAAACCATCCCAAAGCATTTTTTGTTAGTTACTAGTGCATTTGTGGAAGTGAGCATATGCATAATCATCAAAGCTTCCAACACTTCATAGATAAACCAAGTAGTTTTGTCATGGTTGTGACCAAAATAAAGAATTTTAACTACCACCTATCCACCAGTTTTAGACTTCTTATGTCTAAATATAATATGTTCACCTCTGTTTAAGAATTCTAAGTACTAGAAAAACTGATTCAAAATTCTCAAAGCATTGTGCGCATATACTTACCCAAAAATCTTCCACTATTTTGGAAGCTGCTGTTCTTACTTCTGGACCAGGGGACCACTTGTAGTCCTCCCAACACAATACCGGTTTCTGATCATTTTTTGGACCAATTGGCGGTGGATACATCTGGCGCACTAAGGCACCTAGCACCATTGATGGATCACGAGCGTTGTATGGGTGCCTTTCCCATGCCCTGTTATAAATAAAGATCAAATGTAGTTAGCACATGAACATTGCTCCAACAAGTAAAGCAATTGGAATATTTAATACTTACATGCCAACGGGAACTATAAGCGGTCGGTCAATTTCCTCTAGTCTGAGACCGGCTGAAGTCCTAGTTCTTGGTGTTCTAGGCTTTTTAGCCTGTACAGTTGACTGAGTTGATCCATTGTTTCCTATGGAGGCACTAGAAGAAGACCTGTTCGACCTAGCCATTGAGACACGCCTATGATGCAAGCGGGTCATCCTATTTACATAGTGACAAATGCATTCTTATTAGCCACATAAAAAAATTAGTAGATGATTACCAAAGGCATGATAGTAGAAGAAGAGAACAACAGAAAACATTATGTAACAACTAAACTAGAAATACTATCAAACATAATATATTATTCAATAGTTGTGTCACTAAATCACTATGTAATATGTATTACTACCAATAGTAAACATACTATATTATTCACTAGTTGTGCCACTATATAATATTTATTAGTACCAAGACAGAAAATGACAAGTGCAAAAGCTATAAATGTTCAGTAATCATCATCGTCATATTCAGAGTCATGCTCTATTGCATCATCCTCATCTTCGGTCTCATATGTCTCTTCTTGTCCTTCCTCTTCAGGTAAATCTTCTTCTTCCTCATCAGTACTCTCGTCCAATTCATCTTCTGAAGATTCTTCTCCCTCATAATTATTGCCTTGATTTTCTATTACATAAATTTTAGAGGGATCAAGCTCCACATCATCTGACTCCTTTCTTGGCTCAGTAGATTCATCAACAAATTTGCCACCATCTACAGAAAAACTACCCAGCTGACCACCTTCCTGGAAATATTCATCTGTAGTAGATGGGTCATTTGCGCAGTCATCAAAGTTACTCAAGCTGGTACTTGGCTGAATAGTGTAAACAACCCTCCAATCACGAAGATCTCTCCTGGAGGATGCGTAATGCAAGTAATAAGCTTGCGTAGCTTGGTGAGCCATGGCAAATGGTTCAAAATTACTTAGCCTTGAAGACCACTTTATCTCCACCAAACCTAATTTTGCATTTGGCTTCACACCCTTGATGGGGTCAAACCAACGGCATTTGAAGAGTACCATCTCAATTTTTCTACGAGCTGTGAAGGATACTTTGATAATTTCCTCAATGACACCATAGTACTCAAGTTGTTCAGTCTCTGAGATGAAGGATGACAAACAAACCCCTGTGTTCACCGTTTTCAACCTTCTACGTTTTTTCTCAGATATCTCTGATCTAAAGCGAAAGCCATTCACATCATAGGAGCTATAGGAATAGGCTCTAGAGCTGCATCCATTAGCTAAATTCCACAAGTCCTCATCAGAATTGGGATCTTCTTTGCACTACAATGAAATGAAAAGAAAAACTCGGATTATGAAACATAGTAGTAGTTGAATCGTGAGGATATAATGCTAATTAAAATGTGCTTACAGCAATCTCGAACCATTCCACAAATTCGGATGCCATCATTTCATCAAGGCCCTCCGATGGCAAGTTTGGATGACTTGCATATTTTTCATCTTCATATGTTCTGCAAATCCGCGTATGATTATAAACATCTTGCACACTTCAATTCTAAAACTACAAATTATTCATCACTTACTCACGAAATCTATCAACAGCAGAGCAGTTAGTCAAAATGTACAGCCTTGCTGCATTCAACTCTTCACGTGATAGTTCTTGGGCAATAGGCCTCCCATGTAGGTTTCCAACATGCTGAAATACATCTAAGGTGCAACCATCATTCTGCACGCGTGTTCCTCCATTATTATATCGAGGATTCTTCTTCCATATTGTGCGAACATGATCACTAAAGTAAAGAGAAACACAATTCGTGATCTCCTGCACAATACAAGCTTCAACGATTGAACCCTCCCCTCTTGCCTTGTTTCGCACTTTTAAACGAAGATAGTGCATTGCCCTATAACAAAATATTAGAAGTTTCAGCAATAAATGAAATAAATATATCAAAACACAATGTACAGATCAATGTTATATAGTCTAACATACCTCTCAAAAACATACATCCAACGATATGCCACAGGGCCGCCAACCCTTGCCTCATATGGAAGATGCACTATCAGGTGTTGCATTACATTGAAGAAGCCTGGTGGGAACATTTTCTCAAGCTTGCATAATAGAACAGGAACCTCCTCCTCAAGTTCACGCATCCGTTTTGGAGCAATTTCTTTGGCACACAATTGCCGATAAAAAAAACTTAACTCTGCTATGACCTTCCATTCAGGTTCTGGGATGAAGCCTCATAGGGCAACTGGCAGGAGGCGCTCCATGATGATGTGGTGGTCATGGCTTTTCAGCCCAATGAATTTGTTTTTACTCAAGTTGACAGTTTTACTCAAATTAGCAGCAAACCCATCAGAAAACTTCACTTCTTTAAACCACTTAAGGATGGTCATTCTATCTTCCTTGCTGACACAATATTTCGCTCTAGGTTTCTTCCACACACCCCTTGAATTCTTGTTCAGGTGTAGCTTTGGTCGATCACAATACAAAGCAACATCAAGGCGTGCTTTGTTGCTATCCTTAGTTTTCTCAGGAATATCAAGGCATGTTTTTGGTAAAGCCTCAGATACATTTTTCTCATTGTGCATTACATCAATGTTATGGCGAAGCAGCAACTTCTGAAAATACTCTAGCTGCCACAAACCACTTATAGCTATCCAATTGTGCTCCTTCCCAAACCCCTCAAATTTACTCTTGCCAGTTTCATCATGGACAAGACTTTGGAGTTCTTCATACACCTGTTCTCCGGACAAGGGCTTTGGTGGAGGATCTAAAACTGTTTTTTTCTTGCGAAAACATTTCACACTCCTACGAAATGCATGGTCAGTGGGAAGGAATCTCCTATGGCAGTCAAACCAGCATGGTTTTCTCCCATTCTTCAATGAGAATGTCTTTATGTCAGATCCACATATAGGGTTCTTTCCTGGATGATCTGGACCGAGAATAACTAGTGCAAGGATCAGGTTACTCTGCTTCATGCACATTTCTGGTGGAAGATTATAAGGCACAACAAATACTGGCCAACATGAGTAGGAGGCTGCTGTAATACCAAAAGGTGTGAATCCGTCAGTTGCTAGACATAGCCTTATATTCCTTACTTCCTCAGCAAATTTTTTAAATTCCTTATTAAATTCCTTCCAAGCTTCACCATGAGAAGGGTGAACCATTACTTCATCACTGTTATGAGGCCTTGCGTGATAGTCCATGTGCTTGGCAGTGCTTTGTGACATGTACAACCGTTGTAGCCTAGGAGTAATTGGGAGATAGCGCAGAACTTTTCTTGGTATCTTCGTAGATTTATTTCCTGCGGTTGTTTCCTCATATCTAGGTTCTTTGCAGATAGTGCATTTTTCTTTATTTTCATTCTCCTTATAATAAATCATACAATTATTGGGGCATGCATGAATTTTGACGTAAGGCATTGCTAGACTATGCACAAGCTTCTTGGACCTATGGAAGTTTGCTGGGAGATCTTTTGCAGCATCATCCCCAACAATGTCATGTATAAGAGTCATCATCTCATTGTAACAAGCTTCTGACAGATTATGTTGTGTTTTAATAGTCATTAGCCTTCCTACAATGGATAGACGTGATTGTGTGGTCTTCTCATGCAAAGGTTTGTCGGCTTCCATCAACATTTCATAGAATTTTTTAGCAGCTTTTGTTGGCTCATCACCTTTAGAAACTCCTTCAGCAACAATTGCATCAACTAGCATGTCATTCATTCTATCTCCATCCCCCACGTTATCATGCTCTACATTTTCAGGTGCATCAGACTCCCCGTGGCTAGTCCATCTCTCATATCCTAACATGAACCCATTGCTGCACAAGTGTGTGGTCATGACATCCCTTGTGCACTTATGACCGCAAAAGCACTTGTTGCAAGGACAATGGGATTTCCCGTCTGCAGCAGCATCGGGCAATGAGAATGCATGATCTAGAAAATTATCTACTCCATGTTGCCAAGCATCACTGATCAACTTCCCTCGTCTCTCTTTGTACATCCAACTACGGTCGACATCTACATTGCTACAAAAATGTAGAATGGAAGTAGGAGGTATAGTATAAGCATTGGATTTAATCATGAACGTAAAGTGTGATATATATTAATTATATAGTAACAATGAGAACATCAATCAAACAACTCTATATTTGGCCTACATTGGCCATAACTAACAAGATGGTCATTAGGAGCTCTATCCAAACAAGCTAACTAATGTGCAAGTTTATTAATACCTATTTCAACTTTCTGAACAAGAAACTGAGGGAACTGTTCAGGTTATTCATGGCCATCAGAAGCACATACTAGTTGGACATAAGTTGCTACTGTAGTAAACACATAAAACATAACCTTTTTGTGAGCATACCAGTTGAATCCTAGATTTAAGGTTCTACAAATATTCTCTCCGTTTCTTACATAATTAGTTCCCGGCTAACATGGTTTAGAAAGAAAAGAAAGAAAACAAGATCAACTCGTACAACAAGAAAACTTGCCAAACTAAAATTATGAACCGCCAACAAACCAATACTGATGGATCGTGCAGAAAAGAAATTTCAATGTACAAATAATGGACAATCAGCACAATCACGTAAGATAGAAAAGAAGAAAATTACTCAAGGGGGTGTGCCAGAGACGAGCAGAGAGGGGAATGGGGAGGGAGAAGAGAATGATACCGTGGCGCCCCACTGTGATCGCTGCGTGCCGATTGATCGGCCATCGCAGAGGAAGCAGAGGAACTCCTGACCACCCGTCGGAGTGGATGCAGAGGGACGCCGGGCACCCCTCGAGCTAGATTGGTTTGGAGAACGAGGATGTGTTTGTTTTCAAAGAGGACCAGGAGACTATGGCGGTTAGTTTAGGACCTGATTTGGTGCGTGGTGCGTCGGCGCGCGAGAAGTTTTTGGTGGCCGCGCCAAGAAATCAGCGCCAGATCGCCAAAGAATTCGGTAACAGGAGTCCACGGCTGCGAGGTGGGCACTAACCACTACGCGAGAAACGTGAAAAAAAATAGATAACCACGAGGCCTCCTCAACGGATTGAACGGACTCAATTATATTATCCCACGAAAACCACGGTAGACGGTACATATGTTATTATCTCTAGATCACATAATCGTGTCAATGTTGCAACAAATTGTCTCTGGTGTACGTGCTGATTAACTAATTGACCAAACAACTCAGTCTCCACATTTATTTGTGTC